ACCCTAACCCTAACCCTAACCCTAACCCTAACCCTAACCCTAACCCTAACCCTAACCCTAACCCTAACCCTAACCCTAATGAAGAGCCTCCGCACCAACTCCTTACGGGCAAATCGCAATCCCAAGAAATAATCAGTAACAAACCATACCCAACTTTCTCGCATCTGGCTAACTGATGCGCTACCAAAACGGCGACTTCGGGAGCTATTACGCTAAGAGCAGTAAAGAACCGAGCAGCGCGCGCGAAGGAAGGATGTGTGAGGTAAATAAACCTATGATGTCTATATATATACATATATGCATGCCACAAACGCCTACTCAGAGTAGACCAGAACAGAGATTCTCTGTGGAAGGGACAAGACAGGAGAAGAGAGGAGCTCAAGAATTCCCTCAGTTCTCCTCGGAAGTACATATATGCTGTAAAGATAGTATATTATAGCCACAGCCGCTCGATATGCAAAGGGGTCAAGAACCCTGTTGGGAGGTGTAATCATGCCCAAAACTCGCTGTCTATATCGCTTAAGATGCCGAAATCGACATGTAAGATTATACGCCCTCTCCCTCATCCTCAAACCTATCTCTCCTAGTCAATCCATACACATCTGCTATCTCCCATCCAAATTTATCCTCTCTCTTCCCTTATCTCCATCAATTACCAAGACCCTCTCCTCGGCCCTCGAAACTCAAACTAAGCATCGCCAGCTTCGCCTCAACCCTTTTCAACACTTCCGGATCCGGCTCCGTGGGATCGACCCTCACTGGCGGCGCACGCTCGCATGAACCGCATCTCTGGTGTCCACACCGTGCACAACTCTGCGCGGGTTGGTCCTGCACACTATCCGGGTGTGGAACGGGGGGGTAGGCTTTGGTGCAGTGGTGACAGGCGTAGCGGACTGGGTTCGCGGGGTTGGACGAAGGGAGGTCACCTGGGTAGCCGTGGGGGTATTTCTTTTTCTTTTCGCTGTGGGATTGATGTCAGTGTTGAAATTGAGGATAAGGAGTTTTGGGGGTCAAGGTAAACGGGTAGGACGGATTGCATAATGAGGAAAGAAAAACTTACGGATCCCTGGGACAGTCTGTACACCTTCCATGCTCACACCCAGGACAAATCTTGGAATTCGGCATGAAAAGCGCAGAACAAGCACAACAATTTCTTCTTACTCTCTGCATGGGTTTCTTCCTCACCAATGGCTGACAACCGGGCTTAGGATTAGGTTTGGTAAGTGTGATTTCTTCTTTCAAGTTCCAATAATTATCGGGCTCGATGTAGGAAGGTGATAGAGCTGCAGGAAGAGCTTTCTCTTTGTCTTTTCCTGTTTTGAGAGGCGGGTAGCGAGGACAGCCTTTGCAGCGAACGTGCTCGCAGGAAGAACAGATTTTGTTTCCTCCAAAGACGGTGTTGCATTTGTGACATTGACGATGAATGCGGACTCGGATGGGTTTCTCAATTCGGTAGACGATTTTGTCTCCGCCGGTGTATTGTTGTGGTTCGATGGTTACTCGGAATCTCTCGCCTAACATTCGAGCTCGTTCTGCGTGAACTTCGGAGCGAATTATTTTCTTGAGTTGAGGTTCATCCCGGGAGAGTTTGGATTCCTCGATTAGCTCTTCTTGCTTGGATGCAACGGTTGGTTTGGTTTTCTTGGTGGTACTATCAATTGATTAGTTCTGTCGAGAGTGATTGACCTTGAAGTGAATCCTACCTGGGTTCAGCTGTCGACGACGTAGGAGCCGCAGTGGGTTTTGCAGAAAATGATAACCTCTTGGATCCATCACTTCTTTTCAGAACGGTCTTCATCCTCGATAACAAACCGCCCTTTCTCTTCTTCTCCTCTGGCACATTTGGCCCTGATCTGGCGGTAGAACTCATGTTGGATTGCAATTGCTGGATCAATGATCACTCCCCCGTCAACTTTATAGCCGAAGTACAAATTGGAGTTGACGTTAACGCTCCATGAAAGACGACGTCAAGATGTTGGTTAGCGTAGGATTGTTTCGAATCGGTGTTGGTGGCTCGTTGGAAGGAATCCCATCCAGATGGTTGGGGCGACCCAAGTGATACAAGGATGCAATAACACGAGTCCCAGCCCGGAGGAATTATTAAGCAATGCGATTGGGATGTGATGGACAGGATGCGTTGTTGGATTCAAGATGCTACTCGAAACCACGTTGGCGGGAATAACAGCAATGCTAAGTTGTTGGACGGCGTATTTGTGTGGATGAGAGGAGCGATTGGGATGGGTTGGGTTTGTAGGGTGGAGTTGGAGTTGGGGATGCACTTTATTTTGAGTTGACGCTGGCGAACGGGAGAAGCATACACGGGGAAGTGGAGGTCGAGGTGGACAGGACCAATTCCTGTAGGCTGGTTCTTGGGCCGTGGCAATGGTTTTTGACACTTTGTACTGTAGGGAGTAGGGAGTAGGCTACTCTACGAAAGGTTGATGGGGTGGAATAGTGGAATTGTGGGTGATGATATGCGATGGAAATGGTCCATCTGATTGGGGGAGGAGCATGGGTCTGTCTGCCTTTGGATGGAACCAAGGACAGGGTGCCAGATTTCAACCCTACAAGTACGGGTGCAGTGGGAGTGTGGGCCCGGAGACACGGGGCACCAAAAGGCTTCAGGGGGACCGGCAGGGTAGGAATGATAGTGGAGTGACAGGTAAACCTTCGAAAGCTCGGGGCATTCCCGAATCATTGGAAGCCTGAATAGTGGAGTTAGGTGGTGCTGGCGCTCGCACTGGAACGCGGAGAGGCGTTGGATTGGGCGTTTGCTGGAATTTGCTGCGCTGCGCCGGTACGAAGGTAAATGTACTGGAAAGGAAGTAAAAGCAAATCATCTGCGGTGGCCGAGGCCCAGAACCGACCTTCCAGCCGCGTGTCTTAACCTGAAGGGTGAGAAGGCTATCACAGGGAGTGATGTCAGGATGAAGTGATGATACCTCTAAGCGTACGATTTCAGCATACGCTGGAGAAGTACCAAGTCTTGGTATCTGCTGTACTCAGTGATAGAATTCAAATTGGAATGTGCATACTATAGAATTGACAGCGGGCTCGTGGTCGGATTTCCTCATCCAGCGTCCAGCGCCCTTCAGTTGCTCGCGGTCTCTCTTCCAGGCTGCTCTCCCGACGCTAAGTGCTAACCGCAAGTCAACCTGCACCTGCACGCTACCTACGCTCCAGGCGGTTGGAAACAACTGTGGATCCCCAATGGAAGCGATCCCCATTGGAGTGGAAACGCTAACTCTGCATAACTTTAAAGTAGATTTAGGTTGAGCATAAAATTGACTTCGCTTGGAACGTCTTGGGCGTTGTCAATGACTCCATCCTGTACTTCGTACTTGGTAAATACATTCCCCTAATGAAGCTATTCCGAACATTGAATCACGGCCTCAAAATAACCAGAAGTGCCGGCTTCGTTTCTCCGTCCTCATCTCCTGGCGAGTCAACATCGCAGGGGATTGCTCACGGTCCTCAAAGATACACCAAGTTACCGAGCGACCCAGGTGCTGAAGTGTCAAATCATGTTGCCATCTGCAGACTGCAAACTGCAAACTGCAAACTGCAAACTGCAAACTGCAGCCCTCTCCGCAACCGCGGTAGTCAGATTTCAAGCTCTCAACCTGCCAGAACGAGTCATGGTTCACGTACCGTGCACTTGCCGTGACACGACTGCGACGGTGACGGCACCCAAAGCAGAAAAGAGTGTGAAGGTTTCGACAGAAGATCACGCAGAGGATGACTGGAGGGGGTGCCACAGATATAGCAAATCCAAGTCGTCTGGCGCCTGCAGGTGGGAAGCATGCCGTGCGAGTTGAATGATCTGATAGAAGACCCGAAATATGGCGCCACTGACGCTGAAGGACCCGACAAATTTCGACTAACGTGACGGTGGGTGTTGGCATTGCGCAGAGAGGCCGGAGTCGGGGATTCCGTACAACGTGTCGAAGCTGCAAGTGTCCGGATGGAAGATGCATCATGGGATATCGAACCATTTGAGCGGTGGCGATATGCCGGTTGCCATGATGGTTGCGAGCATGTTGAGACATGGTCACAGTGACTTGGGAATCATTTCACTACTGCCTCTTTGGCCTCGCTTTCAAATCACGTACCAGACCACTTCGAACATTGGGCAGTCCACAGCCAATCCATCATATACACCAAAATCAAAAGTGGAAATTAGACAACACGCGCCCTCTCCTCTCAGACATGCAGCGAAGGTATCAAATACATTCCACACGACAAACTCCCGGTTCTACGGGTCGTACAAAAGAACGAGCAGCCACATCTTCTTTCGCTTCCACCCAGCAGCAAATAAATCCTCGTAAATCCTTCTTCTTTCGCTTCCATCAACCGTATTTTCATGGTCCAGCGAACCAAAGGTACATGAACAGCATGTTCTTGGTTATATGCCTGCCAACTATTGCTTCGCGGGAGAACGCAATGTGTGCCGGAGCGGCGCGAAAGAAGGGAACCGATATCCCACCCCTCGCTTCTGGATAAATCTCATCTGCATCTCGCACACCACTTCTTGCTGGATAGTGGTTTATTCATCACACCACAGAGAACAACTTACCGCTGGCGATGCCGAGTTTTTCGACAGATAGAGTCTGTATCATCCCCTTTCTATGTCATCCCAACTAAAATTCGAAGATATAGACAACCCTCATGATCTACTAAACAGCCATCCTCCCTGCAGAAGATCCCATTTGATATCAAACCCAAAATTCAAGCTGAACTCCACGACGCACCTTTCACTTTCTCCGGTAGCGTATGAGAAACAAGCATTTTACTCCTTGCCCGCTGGTCTCCACTCCATCCGTCCGTCACACGGACCAACCCCTGTCGCTGGGAAACCCGAGTGCCAGAACGTGTCGTGTCCGGGGTCCTGGTTATTTCTGTAAAAAAAAAAAGGTCCTGGAATTATCTGCATTGGGACGTTTGCCTGAAGGATTTCTTGGGCCGCGATCTAAGAAGACCACAGGAGAAACTTAATCGAGGTATTTCTTGCGTTTGGGATTTCAGTTGGTCTATATCGTATCAACAATTGTGACGCAATTATCTCTACTCACACAATAATCTACAGTTTACAAGATTATCATTTAATTCTTCCCTTCTTTTTCTTTTATTCATTCTTCCTCTCCGTATGATAAAAAGAAAAATCCACACAAACCGCTCTGACATATTAAAAAATCCTCTAACCGAGCAAACCCAAATGTAACAATGTGGCGGCCCCAGACCAGACTTGCATCCGTAGCCGAAAAGAAAAAACCATAAAACACTAAATCATCCCATTATCCAAAAACAAGCAAAAGGCAGAAGTTAGAACAAGCAAACAAGCAAAATTCCAACCGTATGGTAACCAACCTCGCCAAAACCTAGTGCTGACCGTCAGCCTTCCCTTCCCTTCCTTCAGCGAGCCTATTGCGGCGGGGATGAATGTGGTGAAGATTCCCGAGTATCGTTGAGTTTTGTTGGTTTGCTTGTTGGTGGAGGGGCGTGTTTGGGAATCTTTGGGGTACACAGCATAGGTAGGGGGGTTCGGTACTGTATGGGTTTTGGTGTGGGTAGTGGTGAGTGAGTGAGTGAGTGAGTTTGGAGACGAGTGTTTGGGATTGTTTGGTTCAGCGTTACGCTGATTCTATTCTCGTTTAGGATGTTTTGGCGTTTTCGAGGAGTGGAAGCGAGGTCTTGATCAGGTTTTTTTTTCTTGCTCTCAACCTCCGTATTAGGTCTTTTTTTCTGGATAATTTTTCCTACGCCACAGTAGTTGCTGGTTATTATTCTTTCCCTTCCTCTCTCTCCGCAAGTGGCCCTCAATTCCCACGCACCCCTCTCACTCCTCTCCTCCATCATATCAAAAATCTCGGTTCGGCATCTTATCGCTCCGCTATCCGTCTCCGCAATGTGCTCTACCAGGATGTAACGCTCCCTCGTTTTGATCCCAGTTTGAGAGTGGGGTAGAAATCAACCATTCTCGACCGGGGTCAAGGAGTATCCAATTCCCGGCAGGCTGGTTGGACGGATGGAAGGTCTTTCGGGGAAGGCTTTTATGCGTTTTATGAAATGCATGGAGATAGGAGGGGAACGGAACGCGCAACTGGCTGGGGAGAAACGCTGGAATAGTTGAGGTATTGCTGAAGATTGTTATTTATTCTTGGGTTCTAGATTCTAGTCGGGGAATACTGTTTACAGCCCCTTCGCAAAAGTAGCAAGATGTTTCGCTACCCTAGAAACTGTGAGAATAAGTAATTCACATAACGTACTTCATAAGGAGTCCGGATTTATAAGCAGTCCGGATTTTTTACCCCACCATTGACCACCCTACACACTTTCAATCTACATAACTTACCCAATTATTGTTCAAATGTCTCGAAATGAAGGTCAAATTGCTCTTGCAATCAGTGCATACAATAAGGGTCAATTTACAAGCTTAAAAGCAGCTTGTTCAAGGTACGATGCGCCATATTCTACTACTTACGACCGCGTCAAGGGAGCTATTCCACAACGCGATTTCCGACCCCGAAAC